ACAGGGTTCACGGCGAGCAACTGAGCGTCGGGAGAAACATGGTTGGTTGGCATCAGGGGTTGGTGAAGTGCATGTTGTAGGTCCTGCTTCCTTCCTTCCTTCCTTCTCAATGGAAGTGTACAAACGTCACACTGTATCTTCTTCATGTGGCTCATACTCGAATTGATAAGATGTATTAAAAAATAATTATTAAATTTTAATTAAAGATCTAATATCGATATTTATGTACATTCAAATCTTGGATATTGAAGCTCCACTACGTCTACGTCAACCCCCACAACGCCGCCAAGGCCCGAATGAAGCTCCACAACGCCGACTTATCCGACGCCTCTTCCCTCCGCCGCTGGGTCGACGCCCTCCTCCCCAATGAGGTCTACAACCTGGTCGCCCAGTCCCACGTGGCCGTATCCTTCGAGGTCCCGGACTACACCGCCGACGTGGTCGCCACCGGCGCCCTCCGCCTTCCGCCAAGCCCATCCGCTACTACCTGGCCGACTCCTCTGACATGTTCGGCTCCACTCCGCCGCCCCAGTCGGAGGCCTCCCCCTACGCCGCCGCCAAGGTGGCCGCCCACTGGTACACCGTCAACTACCGCGAGACCTACGGCCTCTTCGCCTGCAACGGCTTCCTCTTCAACCACGAGAGCCCCCGCCGCGGCCAGAACTTCGTCACCCGCATGAATCACCCGTGCCGTCTGCCGCATCCGCCTCGGCCTCCAGACCAAGGTCTTCCTCGGCAACTTCTCGGCCGCCCGCGACTGGGGGTTCGACGGCGACTACGTCGAGGCCATGTGGATGATGCTACGTGGTGGCCACCGAGGAGTCCCACACCGTGGAGGAGTTGCTCCAGGCCGCCTTCGGCTACGTCGGCCTGAACTGGAAGGACCACGTGGTGATGGACCCCAAGTACTTCCGTCCCGCCGAGGTCGACAGCCTCAGGGGCGACTCCACCAAGGTGGAGTTCCAGGAGCTGGTGAAGATGATGGTGGACCATGATCTGGAGATCGCCGAGAGGGAGAAGGTGTTGGTGGACGCCGGATACATCGACGCCCAGCAGCAGCCATAGATAGAACCAAGACATGTGTTTTCTCTTCCTTTCCACTTCATGTATTCCCTTGCATTGTATTCTGCACCTTAATTTGGGTCCGATGAATCCACAACCTGTCGAGGTCAAACCACGGAGGTCAAAAGGCGGCTGCTCTGGACACGTCAAAGACGGCGTGGAATTTGTCTTTACGTGCACTCGGTGAGATCGATTTCTTTTTCTTTTTTTGTGTATAAATATTAATTGCATGACGGCGATAAATATCAGCGGAAATATTGTTACGAGTATATTCCAATGAAGAAATAAAGGCAACAATTTTCTCATTAAAATATCAACGACTAATTTGTGGCGTAAGTAAGTGGGAATTTATTTATACTCGAAAAGAATTAAAAGAGAAAAAGAAAGGAAAATAAATATCTATCTCCTCTGTGGCGATGGCGTCGCCTCCTCCGCCGCTCACCAGTTATAACAGCCAGGGCAGGGGTTCCTCCTCCCTTGGCACGCGCGGAATCCCCTAACGACCCCCCATGGCCATGGCTTCTCGTTTCTCCCCCGTTTGCCTTCCGTCCCCCTCCTCCCTTTTCCGGCCCGATCGTCACGGCTCCGCCTCCATGCCGCCACCGTTGGCTTCCACGCCCCACGGTATTCTTCTTCGTCCAGATCGCTTGCGTCGTGTTCGACCAATGTTTCTTATCTTTCTTTATTTTCCTCCCTTCCGGTGACAAATTTCTGTGGAGTTGTTGTTGCCTATACTTTTCTGTCGGAGTTGCGGCTGTTGTTTCCTCAATTGAGATCCGTAATTTCGTCTCTCCGCGAGCTTGGGAGACCAAATTTTCAGGAAATCGTTTATGTTCTCACTGCTTTATTTACATCCGCAAATTATTTTTTGCTTCTTGAGGTTCATATGCAGACTGTGCAGCGCAATTAACCCCTAAGATTTACAATAAAAAGGAAAAAAAGGTGTATTTTTTTTACTTGGATGGTTATTTGTGTGGATTAGTTTTGGATTTACTTTTATTAATGCATTTACCTGGGCAAGAAGTATCCATTTCTATGAGCAATTAGCTAACTGCTGCTTCTCATCGATGTCTTCATTGGGGATGAAGCTCTTGGTTCTAATTATTTTTACATCAAATCTTACTAAGCAATTATCTCTTTGTGAAGCTGCAGATTTTGCTGGTGCATGTTCTATGATATACCGGCACAAGCAAAGGTTTGTAAGGACAATCCGAGAGGCCAGTGTTGCTGCAGCTCCAACTGTGGAGGAAACTAAAGAGTAAGAATATTTTAGATTGATATGATCCACACATATTAATGATATCTATTCCCAACTGTGGAGAAAATTAGAGCTAGCTTTTTATTTTACCCTGATATCTGCTGAATACTAGTAATAATTATCAGAACACCATATTCATAATGTCTGATATTGGTTTCTTTAACCTTTCTAGTGACACTTATCTTATATATTCAAATCATAAAGGTCATGCTAAACATGGAACTTGATGGCCATACTCTCTCTCAAACCAGTTATTTGGGTCTGATCCACTAAAATATTTGGAACACAATATTTCAAATTGGCTTCCTCAGTTATTTTGAATCAATATCGTATCCTGGCAATAATCTTTGGGAATATATTTACAGATTTCCACACCCGTTGTTGGAAAACAAATGATATATTGGAAAAAGGTTGCAAATTATTGTATATGGAATTAACTCCAGTACTGCACTAAAACTGACTTCCACAGTAGTCTTTATTTATAAATTTTAGAAATTGTTACCATTTCCAAAGTCAAATGGTTTGCAGAATTTGCTTACTGTTTGTGATCCCTTTTAATTAGCTTGTGCTTTTTCTAGACGTTTTATTAACTTGAGAACATTTTCAAGCTTACATTCTAATTTCTTGAATTTTTACAATATGACTTGTTTGTTTTCTCAATATTTCAGGTATACACTTCCTACTTGGGCTGAATTTGAACTGGGGATGGCTCCTGTCTTCTGGAAAACCATGAATGGTCTTCCTCCAACATCTGTATGTGAGGATATCAACTCATCATATAATGCCTTGATTTTCTCGTTTTTCTTCACCGAGTATAACTTTAGTGTTTGACAGGGAGAAAATTTGACACTCTTCTATAATCCTGTTGCAAGCAACCTCGTCCCTAATAACGAATATGGGGTTGCATTTAATGGTATTGAATCATCCATGGTTGATATTTTAGTTGCTGTGGTAATTCAATGTTTAACGTCGATATGCAAATAATTACAGGTGGTTTTAATCAGCCCATTATGTGTGGTGGTGAGCCAAGAGTAATGACAAAGAGAAATAGGGGGAAGGCTGATCCTCCCATCTTTAGTATAAAAATACGTGTACCGAAGCATGGTTTGTGATATTTTGTTATTGTGGTCTGAAATTTCTAGTTCACATAGGCTTGTTATAACTATAGTCTTGCAATTGTACAGCTGTTAACCTAATTTTTTCATTCACAAATGGAGCTGAATGGGATGGCCCATACAGGCTAAAGTTTCAGACTATGAAGATGTGGCGGAACAAACCACTAAGCTTTTTTAATGAGGTAAATAAACTATTGCTCCCAAATTTCTTGAAAATCTTACCATTTGGCATTTTCCAATTCTTCAAAGGTAAGTATCGGTCATCTCGAATTATTTTAGCTATTGATTTGATTATTTGCGGTGCTCTGTCTCTTTTCATACTTCTTGAATTGCAATTTGTAACAAAGAATATGCAAATTTTAGCTTTAAGGTGGATCTCTTTTGCACAAACTATGTTGTATCTGAGAACTCCATGCCTTTTTTTGGCCAAATCCTAAATTAACCATAATCAACTCCATCACCTCATCTCCTTTAAACATATAGACAGAATGTAGGAGGGACCTTTTAACCAGTACTCCCACGTCTCTAGAAGAGCAGTGGTATCCTGGTGCCATCCAGTAGATTTAGGGTCCGAACCTTTACTTATGACACCTTGTGTATTTTTCAGTGCCTCATGCACGAATTTGAAAAAACTAAGGAAAAAAAAAAACATGTATTGCTGTCAAGAAATCTCAGCTAACCTGGCTTCTGCAAGAAATCTCCAGATGTTGCAAATATGTATTGCTGTCATGCCATTTTTCTTAACACACTTTTTTTTCTCTTTTATTTGTATTACTTAGTGAACATGTGACTTGAGAAAATTAAGGGGTTGAAGGCTTGATGTAGGGTCTGGCTCAAGAGCTCAGTGTAGAAGGAGCTTGCGAGAGAGCCATCTTTCCTGATGCAAACAATTTTGTGGCAAGCTGTGCAATTGGCAACATTTACACCGAAGGAGTAAGAAACTACTTCAGCTTTCCTTTCAATTATACTAGAAAATCTTCTTCTCTCTTTGGGTGCATCATATTATTTGAAGAGAGTTTGAGGGGCTATGGATGACAACTTAGCCCATGAATTCGATACAGGGAAATAGCTGCAAGCTGAATCTTGTACAAGGATGCATGGATCCAGACTCTCCATTATATAATCCATTAGCAGATGTAGATGATGGGTCTTGTCCTTTGGACTCGGATTCCGAAGAAGAACAGTGTGCTTCCCCATTGTAATAAAGGTTCTCAGGTATGGCTGCCAGATCTTATTCTAGCATGCTTATAAACATATTGACATGTAATATGCTTGGTTGATGTAGACTGTATTATCCATATACTTTCTACATAAGCCTCTTACTGTTTAGTGTACAGCATGTTTGGCAATCACAAGCATTTGCTGCTTTCTGTTTCCTTCTTGATGGGGGCATTGGTTCTGTGTCACAATATAAAGTTGCTATTTTGCTTCCAGTGTTTATCTCAATTTTCAAGATAACAAAAAGCTCAACATATTTTGTGCTACACCCATTAGTCTAAACACGAGGATTTATTTGCCATTAGAATTTATTACAAATTGGATCATCTAATAGAGGCATCCATCTATAGTGTAAGTGTATTTTGATAGATAATGAGGAAGAAATAATTCATGAAACAAAATGCATTACAATGGGATCTTACTAAGAGAAAAAGAGGAACAATAACAGCAGCATTTTGTTTATTACATATTACACCGAGCAAAGTGGACAGAGATAACATAACATGTAGAGTTGTCGTGCTAAAATGGCAGCAGCCACAACACTTGTGCTAGGCGACGTCGACGGCGGCGGACTCGTCGACGACGACGCGGGTGGGAGGGTGGAACCGGCAGAAGGGGCAGCTGGTGGAGAGGAGGGAGGTCGTGCGGTACTTGTCCTCTCCCCCCATCATGGGCATCGCCACCCCCTTCTTCACCGGGCTCACGTATTCCGCCCGGTAGGTCTGCCCCAGAACCCCCTCGACCCGCTCCGTCAGCCCGGCGAACCTGAACTGCATCTCCAGGTGCGCGAAGGCGTCGCCCGGCGGCAGCCGGTACCCGTGTGCCCGGTCCTCCTCCTCCGTTATCGGCACCACCTTCACGTCCATCTCCACAACCCCCGCCACCGTCACCCTCACGCTGTTCGTCTCCCCCGTCCTTTCGACCACCACCTCCCTCGTCCCGGTACCACCGCTTCCCTTCTTACCTTCGCCCCCGGTCGGCGCACGCCACTCGGCCTCGCCATCGGTGGGCACCGTGACCTCCTTGCCGTCCCAGCGGACCGCGAGCGCGTCGAAGCGGTCGTCCCACTTATCCACCCTCCGGGCGGCGACGACCAGGGAGTGGGACTCGAACATGACGGCCAGCGCCTGCACCCAGGTGAAGTCGCGCGGCCTCCCCTCCGGCCGCATGCCGATGAAGTGGGCGTTGATCTGGAACTGGTCGTCGGACACTATGGCGAAGTCCCCTCCCTTGGCGCCATGGAAGTAGAACATCTGGCCGTCGCCGCCCACGAACCGGGGGTCGTAGCACACCGATCCGTACCCATTGCAGTTGGGCAGCCTATCTGCATCAACACAAGCCAAAGGAAACACAAAACATGAACGAAGGCAATGCACGTCATCTTCGAGTGAGAAGCTAAGAGTGACGGCCGCACGTTTGCAGGTGGTCTCGCAGCGGCTGCTGCAGTCGGCGAAGCATCCCTTGAAGACCTTGTTCCTCCTGGGCTTCCGTTGGGGGCACTCGGCGGGGCACTCAATGGTCTTATAGCGGCAGCGGCCTCTCGCCAGGCAGAAGAAGCGTTCCTGCCTCGACCTTGTCCTCGGTTCCAGCACGATGTAGTGCGTGGACGCAGGATCCAGTGCTCCCTTAGCCTTGAGATCCTTATAAGCAGCCGAGACGGCTCCCATGGACACCACCACCACCAAGGCGGCAAGCCAGACCAAGATGACGGCCCTCTTGCCACTCCAGACCACCATGCCTTTGATCTCCCTGTGCTCTTCCTGACAAGAAGCCCTACACTCGCTATCAAGTTCTCTCTCTCTCTCT